TGAGTAGCTCCCTCTTCTCTGGTACACTAGTCCACAGCTTCTAGCTGCCTTAGCCTTTCCAAAACGCAATCTGCATCTCCTCAACTCAGCACGACCACCATGGTGTGTCTGGTTTCTCCATCACGTGCTTATAGCCTGGAAACAGACTTCAGGTAGAAAGTAAAGGAGGTCATAAGGATCATCTCATTTGTGTCCCTACCCTCAAAGATCAGAGTCCTATGTTGACTATTATCCAGTGTTTGAAAGCAGTTGTTTCATATATTTTGTTTAATATTCTAGTTGTTTGGGGCTGTCCAAATCAAGTTCTTGACACTGTCTCCTGGCTGCAAGTTGAAGTCCACACCTAATTCTTAAAGTATTTGTATATCCATCATAGGATTTCAGCCTCACAAGAACCCCATGAAGCAAACAATATTGCCAGTGAGAATATATACTATCAATAAAGAATGCAGAATAATTGAGAATATTATAGCAAATGGTATCAACAGTAGCTAGTGTTTACTGACTACTTACTATGTGGTAGGCAACATATTAGGTACTTTACATATAAAAGTTCATTTCATCATCACAACAGCATTACGAGGTAGGTATTTTTTGCAGAAGAGGAAACCTAAGCACAGAGAAGCTGAATAACTTGCCGAATGTCACAACCCCAGTAAACGGGCAGAGCTGGGATAAGGAACCAGCTATCTGGCTCTAAGGCCCAACCCCTTCAAACCCCTTAAACTGCTACAGTGTAAAACCTGTTGTTATTTTCCTATTGTATTAAAAAAAAGGAAAGCCTCTGCACACAAAACAACTTGGAGGACAAGGGGGGAAATGATGGGTTATGGGGAAAGGAACGAGACCTAGAAAAGAGCGATTACCCTCAAATGCCGTGTTCTCATGCAGGAGGAGGGTGGGAAAACTCTATTCTCAAAGGCCTGTTGTGGTTGGGATGTAAAATAAAATATATTCTCAGAATACTCTCATAGATACAATATAATGAATGCTAGTTAATCCACAAAAATCTATTTAATCATAATATAGCTAAAAACAGCAGTTTGATAAATATGTACTGAGAGCCTAGTAGGTGCCACAAATCGTTCTAAGAGCTGAAGACACACAGACAAAATCCCTCCTGTCCTGAAGGTTATATGTCCACAGAAGACAGGTGAAGCACATATAAATAAAAAGATAAGTAAATAAGGCGAAATTAATAACTTAACTTCACTATTTCTGCTTATATTATTTTCTACTTCTATTATTTTCAAATAAGTTTAATATTCTCTGAGATATTTTAAACTATTATTTCTACTTATTTTTGGCATCAAGTCACCCAACTACTCAATTCCACTGTATTCCTTTAATTCTGTTTAGTTGTTTTCTAAATCTGTGCACACACTACTCTAAAACAAATGCTAATGAGCAAGAAACATACTGATCTCAGTGGTCTTCATTCAAAATAAAGCATCTAATCCAGCTGATTTTAATGAAATGACTTAATGTTTTGACATGCAAGCAAAAAACTAAGAGTTAGTTTGTTTATCGACAAAGTTGGTATCTCTCCTCTTCACAGGACATTCATGGGGAATACCATGGCAATAAATGAATAGCTTTTCCCTTCTACACACTAGTGTGGTCTAGAGAAAAAGGCAAAAACAACAAAGTTGAAATTTTAATAGGCATTTACAGGAATGTTTTATGGATGTTCTGAAAGTGATTTCATAAATGTGGAAATTTTAGAGTTGGTTTTCTTATGACTAAGACAGAATAGTTAATTTCACAAAGTTTTACAGGACAAAAAAAAATCTTTGGGCCTAAACTACCACAAATGAGAATTCACAATCTAACATTACGCTGTTAAGCTGTTAATTGCCTTGATGGTTATTTATCTTCAGCCCTTCTTTCCCAATTTGAGCTGCTGACATATTAGTGTTTAAATACCCTTTTATGTTTTTATATTTAAATATATTAATAAAATATTATACCTAGAATAAAAAATAAAAAGACCTAGAAACTAAAATGTTTGTTTTTCAACTTTGACTCATTTATGACAAAAATGATTAACAAATCTTCTAACCACCCTTACCAATTAGGAGAAATAAAAAAAGAACAGAATAAAAAGAAAAGGTGTAGTACTTACTTGTTCAGCACTACTGCTTGTTTTTTTAAATATGTTTTTATTGATTTTTAGAAAGAGAGAGGAAGGGAGATGGAGAGAAACATCAATTAGCTGCCTCCTGCCTGCCTCCATATGGGGATCAGGCCCGAAACCCGGGCATGTGCCCTGACCAGGAACTGAACCAGCGACCTCTTGGTGCATGGGTTGAGCTCAACCACTAAGCCACACCCGCCAGGCATCACCACTGCTATTATTTTCACAAACTCTTCAATACCACATGGAAGAAACCAGCCAAAAGCACATAGGCCTAGTGTAAAGCATAAACATTACATGAAGTATTTTCACCCAAAATGTTTGTTCAGAATCTAAGTCAAACATTAACACTTAACTTTCAGTATACAAGAAATACATGAGATAGAGGAACAAGTTAAGGAAACAATCAAATAGAAAACTGGTCTGGACTCTTCAACAAGTCAAAGTCATGGAGGATAAAAGTAGGGGACCCAAGTAGACACTATAGGGACAAAATAACCAAATGCAAGGTGTGAACTTTGTTTGAATCCTGGTTTTTATAAAACACCATTAAAAGATACTTAGGTGAAAACTGGAAAAATCTAAATGTGAATTGGATATCATATTACAGAATTGTTCATTTTCATAGGTCTGATAGCTCTTGTGTTTGGTCCATCCTTATTCTTAGGAGAAGTATGCTGAATTAGGAACCAGGTGGTACAGTATCTGCAACTTACTTTCAAATAAATCAACGAAAAAATTGTAAGTATATAATTGTGTGTGAGTGTGAAGAGATAAAGCAATTATTGAGAATTTTTTAATGAAATGTAAAGTACAGCATAGGGAATACAGTCAATAATTTTAATAACTACATATGGTGCCAGGTGGGTATTTGAAGTATCAGGGGGATCACTTTATAAAGTATATATTTGTCTAACCACTGATACACATTTGAACTAATGCAAAAAAAAAAAAATTGAATGTAGCCCGGCTGGTGTGGCTCAGTGGTTGAGCGTCAACCCATGCACCAAGAGGTTACCAGTTTGGTTCCTGGTCAGGGCACATGCCCAGGTTGTGGGCCAAATTCCCAGTGGGGGGCATACAGGAGGCAGCCGATCGATGTTCTCTCTCATTGATGTTTCTGTCTCTCCCTCTCCCTTCCTCTCTAATATCAATAAAGAAAAAAAAATTTTTTTTAAATATTGAATGTAAACTATAATTAAAATATAAAATTAAAAAAATCTTTTAGTCTAGACAGGAAGAACAGGGCAAATTCAAGTATTCTTTCAACTTTAATATAGATTTGAAATGTTTAAAAACAGAAAAGTCATTCTCCACCTCTAGGTTCTAGAGATACCCTTCTATATTTTCTTTGCTTAACTGTGTAGCTTTGCTTTCACATTCACATTTCTGAGTCGTCTAGAGTTCATTCTGTATGTGGTATGAGATACAGATCACTTTATTTCCTCTATATAAAGTTCCAGCTTTCTCTACACAATCTACTAAACAATCTGTCCTTTCCCCACTGATTTGTGGAAGAATGATATTTGGTTCCATTGAAAGAGCTAAGCAGTCCAGCCAGTGTGGCTCAGTGGTTGGGCGTCAACCCACATCAAGAGGTCGCCGGTTAGATTCCTGGCCAGGACACATGCCCAGGGTGTGGGCCCAACCCCCAGTGGGGGGCATGTGGGAGGCGGCCAATCAATGTTCTCTCTCATGGATGTTTCTATCTCTCTCTCCCTTTCACTTCCTCTCTCTCTAAAATCAATCAAGGAAAAAATACATAAATAAAAAAAAAAAAGAGCTAAGCAGAGGAATGGGAAAAGGAATAAGAAAAGTAGGAAAAAGAGCAGAGGAAAAAAGAAATAACAGTACATATAAGGGAAGTACACGTATAAGAGCTTAGCTGAGCCCTGGCCGGTTTGGCTCAGCGGTTAGAGCATTGGCCTGCAGTCCTGAGAGACCCGGGTTTGGTTCCCACTAAGGGCATGTACCTCGGTTGCAGTTGGTCCCCGGCCCTGGTTGGGTCATGTGGATGGCAACCACTCGACGTGTCCCTTTCACGTCGATGTTTCTCTCTCTCTCTCTCCCTCCCACTCTATCTGAACAAAAAATGGAAAAAATGTCCTCGGGTGAGGATAAACAAACAAAAAGAGCTTAGCTGAGGAAGGGCTAAGTATAAATGAAGCTATTATCAAATTCCGTATTTACTAAAGCATATAAGAAGTCAATGGAAAAGAAATAACTGAACACCTATTTAAATACACATACACACACAATGACAAAGAGAAATTTTCCAGGAATGACCCCATCCACCATCTCCTACCAACCAGTACATTGGATTCCATTTTACAGAGCCTTTACTCTAGACAGAACAAAAGGGATGGCAAAGCAGAGACATTATAAGCATCTTTAAGACTTTTTTTTTTTTTTTACAAACTTTCAGATTCTTTGGAAATGTTTAAAACCTATTTCTAGCCCTGGCCGGTTTGGCTCAGCGGTTAGAGCGTCGGCCTGCGGTCCAGAGAGACCCGGGTTCGTTTCCCGCTAAGGGCACGTACTTCGGTTGCAGTTTGTCCCCGGCCCTGGTTGGTCGTGCGGTGGCAGCCACTCGATGTGTCCCTTTCACATCGATGTCTCTCTCTCTCTCTCTCTCTTCCTCTCTCTCCCTCCCACTCTATCTGTACAAAAAATGGAAAAATGTCCTCGGGTGAGGATTAAAAAAAATAATAATAATAAAAAAAAATAAAACCTATTTCTTTAATTTAGCACCTAGATCAGAGTTTAAAAACATGAACTTCTAGAATTCATAACTCTTCATCCCATTACCGACAGCAAGTCAGAAAACGTCAATGTTTTCTATAAGAAAACTCTAAAAACATACCTTTTCTTTTCAGCCAGATTGGCTCCTTCATCCTTTAGCTGCTTACTTTTCTCGGCACAGTCTTCAAGGAGAATTTCTTTCCTACGTTTAATGGCATGAAGCCAGTTCCCTTCATCACTCTCAACGGCGTCCTTTTCATCAGCAGCTTCAGCTTCAAACTGCTGGGAAGTGACCTTTGAGACCTTCTCACCAATTTTCCTCTTCCATCCAAAGGAAGCCATTCTGGAAAATGACAAAGAAATAGCTTTGAATTTCAAACTTCGTCTTTTATAGAAGTATTCCAACTAGGTAAAGGAAGAATAACAGGATCAGACTACCACTAGTTTTTAACTCCTAATTAAACAGTGGCCCTAGGAAATAATCATCAAAGGCTGCTAACATCAAGAAAGACAAATGAACAGTATGCATGCCCTGATAGAAGGGACACGGGCACACCAGCCATGATGTGCTCTTGCCAAAAATTAATCTTGAATCAAATTGAGCCTCTAGTTTATAAAATATATCTATATATGGAATCAAGATGAGCATGCATAACTACAGAGATGCAGACAGCAAAAAATAAAAAGAAAGATGGTTTCTTCAAGAAATAAATTGCCAGAAAAAAAGAAGAAAAAGATGGGAGGTAACCCCTAGATTAAGAGAAACTAAAATACATACTAACTAAATAGAATGCATGAATCTTGTTTAGCTCTGGGTTCAAACAGCCAATGGGGAGAAAACAGGAGAAATCAGGACACTGATTTGATATTTGATGACATTAAGGTTATTTTTTAGGTAAGATAAATTGCATTTTGATTATGTTTATTTTTTTTTTTAAACTTATCTTGTAAGCCCTGGACGGTTTGGCTCAGTGGTTGGAGTGTTGGCCTGTGGACCAGAGAGTCCCAGGTTCGGTTCCCGCTAGGGGCACATACCCCCCTCCAAAAACACTTACCTTTTAGGAATACATACTAAAATATTTCACATGAAATTATGATACCTAGGAACTATTTTGATGTAACCAGTGGGGGTGGAGGTGCAGTATAGGAGAAATATAGAAGATTGATGTGTTGACAGTTGAAGTTAGTTGATAAAGACATAAGATACCTGATACTTTTCTCTCTTTTCATACATTTGAAATTTGCCATAATAAAAAGTTTTAAAAGATTCACACGTGGCAAATTCAAGTGGGTGAATAGAAAAGATAACAAATGTTAAACTGTTCTGTAAAACTGCAATGACATACAAATGTAAGAGATAAGAAAAAGAGTAACTGATGGGACGAAGTTGAAGGAAACCCTGGAAGAAATCCACAAAGATTCAGTTAGAGAAGGGATTTACTGAGGGACCCAAGAATTCTTACAAATTATATGGATGTGCTTAAAAATGCTGAAAAACCTCTGAATTTCTTATATTTTTATATACTTGTGTATATGGAGTCTATGACCCCAAGAAGATTATGATCAACTGACTGATCAACTTGAGGGATAGGGAAAGTAATGAAGCAGAAGTCTTCATAAAACTATCAAAGAACGGGCACCGTGGGAAGAAGGAAGAGAGAGAAATGAAAGTAGTAAGTTCTCGTAGGTAGATATCAAGGCCTTCACCACAGAGGCACATGGCTGAAGTGAAGTATAAGTAATCGTGAGAAGGGAAGGGACCAAAAAAAAAGCAAGGGTAGTTGTGAGGCCGTTCACATGGAAAGGCTTGAAATAATGGCAGAACTGGGAAGGTTAAGAAAATTGTGCGTTACGTGCCTAAGTTCTTAGTGAGTATGAGTGAGTTCCAATAAATTACAGCAATCAAGAAATGTACAGGCTGATAAGGGTGAACCAGATATTTTCCAAGGGAGCAGAGATTTTTAGAAAAGCCTAAAGAAGAAACAGATTATAAACTATACTCAGGAATTAAGACAATGCCAAGCTCTCTCCCCAGACCCATTATAATATGAGAGAATGAGATCCCTATATTTGAAGTAACTATAAGTAACTTAGGGGAAGAATCAAGAAATGGATGAAAGTAGAAGTGTGGCTACTATGGAAAAGAAGTCCAGAGGCGCAGAGTGAGGACAACATGAGAGAGTGGACCATTTGGAAAATCTCACAAGATATCAGGATAATTCAAGAAAAGAAAGAAGTTGGCTATTTATGCATGCTCCTAAAGGTGACTAGAATGAGAATGATTTAGCTTCCTGGTTTCAAGTCCAAATGGAACTTTGTGATGCACCCTATTAATGGGTGGGAACTCTATTAATACCTGGTATGTTCACTAAAGGCAAATTACATTGTACCTCATTGGTCAGGTCTGTAAATTACTGGGAGCAGGGATTAGGGTAGGAGGAAAGGAAAAAAGGACAGGCAGACCCACATGTATTTTTTAAAAAGTAATAGTTCATTTAGACTCCCGTTACCATCCTCTATCCTGTAACCTAAACCACTGTTTTAAATGCTGTAGACAGGTACAGGTCAAGGCTCCAGATGGTAGTCCTCAACCATGAATGAACAAGCCACACACCCTGCTGCATCAGGTGTTTCTACAATTCTCCTCCACAAATCCTTTAATTAAAGATCTTCTACAGATCTGAAGCTGGGAGGTCAGGCCACAATGAGGTTTTAGAGTATAAATGGCCTGACAACCCCTATCAACTGAAGTTTAGCCCTAAAGAGAGGGACAAGAATACATTCCTCTCGGACAAGAACTAATATTGAATGAAAAGTATAGGCAACTTTAGAGGTAGAGGAAAAAGAAAATGGCAAATGTCGTAACCTCAAGCTTCACATTTTTTCAGAGAAATAGGAGGCTAGTCATTGGCCCCAAGTAAAGGGAAAAGAAATGAATCTGAGACATGAGAGTAGAAAAGATCTGAAACAGTCACTGTGAAGAATAGGAAAAGAAACAGTAAGGGATAGTAAAGATGCCAAACAAGGGTGCACTGAGGTTAAAAAACATGAATCTCTTATCAAAAACCATTACTACAGTTTATATTTTCTTCAAAATTGTCTGGAGACCACATGGGTATACTAAATTACAATACAGGATAAGTGCTATAAGAGAGTAAACAAAGGATGCTAGGATGTCAGAGAAGAAACACTTCAGCCTTTATTTTGAAAAATAAAAATTAGCCAGGCTTGAAAGAAGAGTAAGTCATATAACATATACAACATGCTTTCCACCTGGGAAAATTTAACACTCCTAATTGATTCAGGTATTTTAAATAGTATAAGTTTACTGTTCTTCTAAGGCTATTTAAAATTAAATTGGAACTGCTGTTTTGATCCAGTGATCTTACTTCTGGGAATATATCCTAAGAAGCCTGAAACACCAATCAGAAAGAATATATGCACCCCTATGTTCAAAGCAGCGCTATTTACAATAGCCTAGATCTGGAAACAGCCCAAGTGCCCATCCGTAGATAAGTGGATAAAAAAGCTGTAGTAAATTTACACAATGGAATACTATGCAGCTATAAAAAAAGGATTTCTTGCCCTGGCCGGTTTGGCTCAGCGGTTGGCACGTTGGTCTGCGGACCAGAGAGTCCCAGAGTTCGGTTCCTGCTAGGGGCACATACTGCCCCCCGCAAAAAAAAAAAGGAGGATTTCTTACCCTTTGTGACAGCATGGTTGCACCTCGACAATATTATGCTGAGTGAAATAAGCCAGTCAGAGAAAGACAAACATTACATTATTTCACCTACATGTGGAATCTAATGAACATCATAAACTGGTAAACAAAACAGGTCCAGAGGCATGAATTCATATCTCAGAGGGGGGGAGGGGAGAGGGGGTACGGAAGACATTAACCAAAGAACTTATATTCATATATGCATAGCCAATGGACACAAACAATAGTGTCCTGAAGGCCTGGGGTGGGGCAAGGGCTGGGAGGAGGAAGGCTAAGGAAGGGGGCAATTGGGGTACATATGTGTAATACTGTTAACAATTAAAATAAAATAAATACAAGTTTATAAAATAAAATAAAAACTTCTTATAAAGAAGGCTTCTTGGCCCTGCTGGTGTGGCTCTGGGGTTGAGTGTGGACCCATGCACCAAGAGGTCGCCAGATGGACTCCAGGTCTGGGCACATGCCAGGGTTGTGGGCCAAATCCCCAGTGGAGGCCATGCAGGAGGTGTTCAATGGATGTCCTCTCTCATAGATGTTTCTATCTCTCTCTCCCTCCCTCTTTTTCCCTCTCTCTCTAAATTTTTTTTTCTTCAATCGGTGGTTAGATGCATAAGGCACGAATACGCGAACCTTTACATTTTCACTAGGATAAAAAAAAAATCATCTGGCTATTTCGTAATCAAATGTGTTTCATGTTATAAAACAACACATTCATTTTACGCACAACTAACGAATGCCATGAAAATTCTAAACAACGGCGCTGTTTTCTACATTCTTTTGCACGTACGACGGTCCCTACGGTAGGCGCTCGATGCCTGCTGCCGGCGTGACCGTTCACCCGGCCCGGCCAGAGGCGGCTCGTCTTCGTCGCGTGGAGAGTGCGACACCCACGCGAGAACCCGCTGGCGGAACACGGTCAGGAAATCAAACCAGACCCCTTCCGGGGACAGGGATGTTTTCGGAGATGAGGGGTTCAAGAAACGATGTATCCGAAAATGTCACCGCAAGACTGCAACCAGCAGGAGCGACTTCCTTCATTATTCACGACGACAAAAGCGTGCGGAGTTCACCAAGGCTGCCATTACCGTCCCCAGGCCCAGCCCGCGCTCGGCCGCAGACACCCGCACCCGGCGCCGCTGTCCCTCCGCCACGGGAAGGTCAAAGCCGCACACACCGCGGGAAGGCTGAGGGGCCGCCCCGCGGCCGCTGCCAGGGAGGCCCGACCCGCACACCTGCTCGTCCCGAGCACCAACCTTAGCGTCCCGGCTTTGCCAAAACCCAGCTGAATCTCCGACTTCTGAAGCTCCTTACTCCCCCGCGCACAAGACCCACTCGCCCGCCTCGCCTGCTCTCCCGCCGGTTTCCAGCAACGACCCGGGAGCCAGCTACCTGAGGACCACTCCTCCGGTCCCGTGTTTACATTCCGCTTGCCCTTTGCCCTCGGGAACCGGAAGTCATCATGCCCGACCTCCGACCTGCCTACCTTTAATACCTGGGCTCCCAAGATACAGGCTTGGCCCACTTGCGGCGCCCGAACCGTCCAGAGAAACACGCAGGGAAGAGGCGCCTCTCAAAGCCTTTCTCGTCCGTCAGTCCCTTTCCCTGGACCACAAATCCCAGAAGTCATCGCGGCCGCCCTATTTCATTACCCTCTGGGATTTGTAGTCCGGGCCACCGGGCAGGGCGCTCCCTGCAGGCGGGACTGTCCAGTGCGCAGGCGCTCGCGGGAGGGAGCACGGGGAACTGCGGCTGCGCGGGCTGAAATGCGCTCGGTCAGAAGCCTGCGCGACTGAATTGCGCGACCCAGCTGGTTCGCAGGTAAAGAAAGCAGGCGCGGGAAAAACGAGCTGGGGCCATTTCTTGCATAAAGACATGACCCTGCTCTAAAAGAGTTTACACCCTAGTTATGGAGGCCGGCCCAGCGGACTCCCTGAAAAAGGGTTCAGGGGAGCCGATCCGGGAGCGCTGTGGCTCGACTGTGAACTTCACATGGGAAAACCTGAGTTCCACAAAAGAGGGAGAATTGCGGTCAGAAAAAAGCGGTGCTTCGTGTCTTGAAAAGAAATAAGCGCGGGAAAGCCACGCTGGGAAGTGTTTAGACAGGTGAAGAATTGCGATTGTTTTGAGGGTAGCTGTGTTGTGCAAAGGAAAACCAGTTCTGCACACAAGCTTCCTCTGCCCCAGCGCTGTAACCTGGCTGGGGACAGGGGCTCACCTGTGAGCTGCAGGGTGCTTATCCCAGCCTTGGGCCCTGCCCACCAGGTGCATTCCTGTCCACCACCACTACCACCACCAGAACCGTCTCCAAATGGCCCCCCTGTCCCCTGTAAGAAAAGCAATTCTGCCCCCTGCTGCCCCATTGAGAGCCACTGATGCGAACCAGCGATTCTGCAGAGGTGATCCTCATGTGACAGAATAGTAAGAAGCTGGGAAAATTCCTGGGCAAATGCTAAGGAAACAGGCAAGAAAAGTAAATAAGGCCAAACAATTTGGACAACTTACAGCCAGTTTGTGAATCGCAAGATCTTACCTTCCCCAACCAAGGGCACTTGAAAGCAAATGGTTTAGACCTCCCCACCCTAACCAGAGAGTACATAGCTTAAATCACCCTGGCCTGGGAAATAGAGAACAAAGACCCAATTATATGCCTTTTGTGCCAGCTAAACCCAAAGACAGATGAAGCCACGGGAACACTTAACAAAAACCCCATTAGAACCAGACGGACCTAAGATAAAAGTAAAACAGACCAAAGAATAATACAAAAACCTCCTATTCACTCATTTTGATGCATCCGCACATTAAAAATGCACCTGGAATGCTGATGAATATTCTACCAAAACCCTCCCCTAAGATTCTTGCATAAAAAAAATAGGGATCATAAGCCCCCAGGACAGACTCAGTGCAGGCTCGCTCTAAAAGTGCACCCATGCTCCTTCCTGGGCATAAACCTTTTATTTCTTCCTAAACTCAAGGATCCCCATGAGACTTGCAATCAGGGGAGTAGTGAACAGCGGCAGCTCAGCTCAGGCTCACCCCTGATCTGTCTCCAAGACCCCCCCCCCTTTTTCTGCCCAGTGAGCTCACAGCAGCCCCGCCTTGGCTCACTGCTTTCCTATAACGTTTCTGAGCCAGAGCAGAGCACCACTCAGACTCTCCTGTTGCTCTTCTACCTTAAGTCCCTCCTCTGTTTCACTGTCCCCAGCTTTAATAAACATATTTTCAAATCCACCTGGACTTAGGTAGTGAAATCTTTCCTACATGAAATCAAGAACCCACACACTACAGGTCAGCCTGAGGCAGACCCTGTCTAGGCAGTTCCTGTCCGGTAATACTGAGACCCCAAGACTCTTTCAGTCAAAACTATTTTCATGCTGCTTTGAAGACATCATTTGCCCTTCTCACAATGTCGACATTTGCACTGAGTGGAAGAGCATTAGCGGGTGAAAGCTGGCCCCTTGGCGCCCCTCAAGGCAATGATAACACGCTGTACAAGTGGTCATTGTCTTCCTCCCCACACACTCATAGTATGAAAAACAAGTTACTCAAAAGTGGCCTTGAGGAAGCAGTAAAGATTACTAAAATGGCCTCTGAGTACGCTGCTCAGTAATACTCTGCACGACAGGGGCCCTGCGCTGCGCCCTGACGTGTGATGTCCTGAGAACAAGCATCTGATCACATTACAAACCGAAGTGCATACGTTTTCACTGGAACACAGCTTCCCCTCACAACTGACGGGCCAGCTGCTTCTGCAGGCGTGGGTATTGGACGGGTCTTTTCCGGATAGTGAACAAAGGGAGCCTGTTTCTCCAAGAAAACAAATGAGGGGCTTCCAGTCAGGACGGCGGCGTAGGTAAACATGGTCCTCGCCTCCTCCCACAGCCACATCAAATTTACAGCTAAACTACAGGACAACCATCATTCAGAAGTGCCTGAAATCCAGCTGAATGGAAGGCCTATAGCTACGGAATTCAAGCAGCAGCCACATGGTAGAAGGGCGGAGGTGGACGGGCTGGTCCCACACCCATGTGTGGTGGATAAAATCAGGACACCTCGGCTGTGAAGGTCCTCTCTAGGGGCAAGGGGTCCCCATCCCACACCAGGTGCCCAGCTCAGGGTTCCAGTGCCAGGAAGAGAGTCCCCATAACTTCTGGCTGTAAAACCAGCAGGAACTGAGGCTGAGGCTGCGTAGCCCCAGGCAGCTCCTCTTTTTTTTTTTTTATCCTCACCGGAGGAGATTTTTTGGTATTTTGTTCAGATAGAGTGGGATGGGGGGAGAGAGAAACATCAACGTGAAAGGGACACATCGAGTGGTTGCCACCCACACGACCCAACCATGGCCGGGGACAAACTGCAACCAAGATACGTGCCCTTAGGGGGAACCGAACTCGGGTCTCTCTGGACTGCAGGCTGATGCTCTAACTGCTGAGCCAAACCGGCCAGGGCTAAGCAGCTCCTCTTAAAGGGCCCACGCATGGATTTACTCAGACTCGCTCCTTTCAGGCTCCAGCATGGGGGAGGCAGCTTGAAAGACATCAGAGACATATGGGGAAGAACTGAGTTGTTTGTTATCAGGGCAAGATTTGGAAGGACAGCTTTCTCCCAGACAGACATGCTGGTGTGTTGTGGTGCGACAGAGTCAAAGAAAGACCACTAGAGAATTGAAGTCCAAATAAGAGCCATTTATTAGCCGGCCGGCGTCTGATTTCTGAACACCCCTGTGACAGATCAGCCTTGATATGCTTTATTACATGCCTTTTATACCTTACAGCAAAAGTTTAATAATATTAAGAAAATAGGATCATCCTGATGTAATGCCCAGGGCTACAATAATGCTGTATAGAATCAGTTTGCCTTGCGGATAACAGGCACATCCAGGTATTTCGAGGTACATGGGGTCACACTGAGCCCCGAGCTGCACTAACACAATGCAAGCCTAATTCCTTGAGATTGTGTGGGAGGTCGAGTCTCTGACTCAAGACCTCTAGGCTCCGTGGACTCTGTCAGACATGTAGCCGGCTCCCAACAAGTTCTTGGGTCAGGGATTCTTTACAAAACAGGTTCAGCTAGAGGGCACACGGTGACTTTCCAATCATCAATTATGGAGCTATAAACAAGTCAGCACAATAATTTACCAACCATCAATTATGGGGTTATGAACATGTCAGCACAGGTGGAGGCTGTTGTTCCCTCGGTGAGTCCTTTCCCCACGGGGTGGCAAATGGGCACCGTATCTGGGACTCCAGCAACCTGGCTCACACTGGTTGCCCCACCCTGGTGATCCCCTCAGGCCCCGCCCCACCCAACTCTCAGGCCCACCCAAGCTGTTGCCAGTGGCTTTACCATAGGATTGGCCTGTCTTGGCTCCTGCTTCAGATTTTCCTAAATTCTCTCAAACAAGCAGCATCTGGCCTCATTGGGCCCCATACCTCTAGCTAAGTGGCCCCAGGCCTGGCACTGGAAGCAGCCAGCCTTGGTTCACAGCTTGGCTCTGCCTGGGCACCTAGGCCAGCACAAGCAGCAGCCACCTACAGATGGCGTTGTAGCTTATGCCTGGTGGCCCCAGGTAGAACACAGGCAGTGGCTGACCTTGCCCCAGAGCCAGCACACCCAGTGGACAGCTTCAGACCATGTTGAAGAACCACCACCCAACCATTTCCACAAGCAACACACTCAAGGAGTGGACTCGGTGGGTACCAGAGCCCTGCTGAGGTAAGTCTTGCTCTGTGGGCCCTGCACAGCTGGTTCTCCAAGGCGGTCAGTGGTCAGTGGGCACAGCCAGTCCTTGCAGCTGACCAGCCTGAGTAAACCCCTCCTGTTGATGTGCCAACAACAATCAAGACTCAATTACAACAGAGGGGTGTACAGTCCACACTAGGGGTGTACCTCGAGGGCCCAGCTGGGGTGACTAGGGAGGCTGTGCCACTGGATCCTACGGGACACCTACAACAATAGGCCACCCTAGGAAGCCTGGTAGACACAGCAACTCTACCTAATACATAGAAAAAAACACAGGGAAGCAGCCAAAATGAGGAGACAAACATGTCCCAAATGAAAGAACAGAACAAAACTCCAGGAAAGGAACTAAACAAAATGGAGATAAGCAGTTAAAAACACTGTTTATAGGGACGCTCAGTGAACTTAGTGAGGGTCTCAAGAGCCCAGCCTGGACTGGCATTCAGTGCTGTGGCTCCTTCCCACACTGCACCAGGGTTGTTCTGTGTTGCTTATAGGACATCACTTCCGTTATTAATTGTAGAAGATACTAAGGTGGGGGCATTGTTTCTTAAGCTGCATAGAGGTTTACCCCTCCAGTTTACCACAAACCTAAAACACTGAAAATTTGAGCCAAACTTATGATTTATGTACTTTTTGGCATATACCTCTATAAAAATCTTTAAAATGCATGTTATCTCCCTAACAAGACACTCAGAGCAGGATGTATACCACATGGTCCACATTAGTAGTGCATCGCCCATAGTAGCCGAATGAGGGGATGCACTTTGCAGAGTAACCAAAGGATGTGTGAAGCTGTACGGCTTTCTAGGGGTCTTTCCTAAGTGTCTCCTCAACCTTGACCCACTCTGCTCTGGTAAAGGCTGCCCCACCCATTACTTCTCTGATCACTTTGACTGGTCTATGATCTTGACACACCTATTGATAAATTTAATACATGTACCATGCCTTCTGTCTACAGACATGATTATCTTCCTAATTGCTAGAAATCCTCTAAATTTATCGTAGTTAAAATTCTGGGCATTCACAATAAATAGAACAGTTCAATGCTAATTTTCAAATAATTTTCATACAATTGTGTAGTCAGGGTAAATACCTAGAACAATTTATAAGTTCCATAAAAGAACAATATATGTGCAGTTCATAATAGTCGTTGGTACTGTTTTGCTACAGTTATCTAGCTATTTTGAAGATTTAGAATGCCAACAATCTAGTACAGCAATTTTCAACCTGTGGCCACAAAAAATTTGAAACCTGCCATACGTCTTTGGTCCGGAGCACTGACCTCTTCTCCCTTACCTTGTCAAATAAAGTGACAACAGCCAACGCAGTAGCTGTCCTGTGTGAACGCATCAAAATTATACCTATTTTTTTGCCAGACTGGCAAAAAGTATATTTTTTGGCATGCCAAAGAATTTTAGTGATTAGCCCGTGTTTGCCGAGATGAAAAAGGTGGAAAATCGCTGCTCTAAGACACACCCCGCCCATGGGACACAGACGTACTACTGAGCTGTAACAGTCTAATGCCAGTAGCCAGAGAGACGGTAGCGGCTTTGCCTTTCCTCACATAGATCTTGATATTTTGTTCAGGTGGTTGATTTTCAGATGAAATCAAAGCTAATTTAGTTGAGACAATAATTACGTTTGAGTGCTAAAATTTGTTCAAGCTCTGTATTTTATATTTAGGCATGTTTTAAAAGGAAGGTAAACAGAGGTTAAAAGTGTTTTGTTTTGTTTTTTTTCATTTAGTTTTCCCAGAGGTTAAAAAAGTTAAGCACATTCGCCCTGGCCGGTTTGGCTCAGCGGTTAGAGCGTCGGCCCGCGGACCAATGAGTCTCGGGTTTGATTCTGGCCAAGGGCACGTGCCTCGGTTGCAGTTCGTCCCTGGCCCTGGTCGGGTGGTGCGGGAGGCAACCGGCTCTGTCACATCAATGTTTCTCTCTGTCTCTCTCTCCCCCTCCCTCCCACTCTATCTGATAAGTGGAAAAAAATATCCTCAGGTGAGGAATAAAAAAAAAAAGTTAAGCACATTTTAAAACATGAAAAATTGTTTTTTTTTAAACTATCCATTTCTAAATCAAAGTATTTTAAATTTTATACTTAAATATACTCCTTCAAAACAAGCATGAACATGTCTCAGAATATTGCACCACGAAGATTGATATCTACCCTGCTACCAATTTACAGTTATGTTGTATGTGGAATTTCATTCATCTGGCCAGACTCACACTGTGAAGGATTTCTGTTGAGGGTGTGGGCAATGGAAGACATTAAGGGGGAAAGATTTCAACAACACACATTTTTCATTCCTTTCCAAGGTGCCCGTCCGAGCAGAGCCGCCTGGAGCCCTACACATCGCCACAGTCCCTACCAGGACTCAGTGTGGGGCAGGGTATGAGAGGGCAGGATTTTCATAAAATCATTTAAAACTCTGAAAATTATAAAAGCATCTCAAGAGAATATATAATCAAAGTAAAAGCAATGGAGTTTATTTCAGTGAAATTACTTTAAATTAGATATGATATATTAAGCTCCCATATCCCCCAACCTGGTAGAAAAGTTCCTCTCAGTGAGAAATCACTTATTTTAATGCCAAAATTTTTACATATCAGTAAAATCTGTTATATTTAAAACTATGTATATAGTACATTTCTGACAAAAACCTTATACATCTTTCAGTTGTCAAAACAAAGTAAAAATATGGTTGCATAAAATCACAAAAAATATAAATTGCTGAAAAAATAAAAAAAGATTAAAAATCATTTGCATTGACTCCTTTACATCTTCAATTAGTAAGAATTTGCAAACAACAATTTGTGAAAATTCTGATGCAACCTTTACATACTCAACCAAAAGTTGTCATTTCAAATATCCCAGCTTAAAAAAGAATTTACTGCAATAGGCTGTGCATTTATCATACTATTTGTACAAGTGCAATATTTAAATATCCTCAAAATAAAACTCAGTAACTAAAAGGAATCACAATAACTTAAAAAGAAGCAAAGTTTACAAAATGAACAATTTTCAGAAGGTCCTATTTAATTGGTTCCTCCTTGTGTTCCCCCCTCCCCACAACAGCTTGTGAGACATCACAACAATGTCTTGGTTCTATATACAAATTTGTAACCTTAAAAATCCAGTCTCTGTTCTTCACATCAGGAACATCGCTGCATTGAGAGAGCCTATGTAAAAGCAGTATCTTCAAAACAGAGGGCCATGTACAAGTTAAAATACAGTTTTTAATTTCTATTTAAATGGAACTCCCACTATTTTATACAGCTTTCAGATTCTAAATTGAATAGAACAAGCCCTGGACAAACAGAAGCCAAGATTTTTCTTGTGAATTCAGTGCATGTTTCTAGGGGTTCTGGAGCCAAATCTACAACTATAGTAACTGTGCAAGCTATTATGACATCCAAAAACTACTGCTTCATTACATGGGGCTCACTGTATCTGCAAAAAACAGTCTTAAAAGAGAAAGAAGAAGAAGAAAAGAGCTCTGTTGCAATGGAAAAATTATTAATAGGAAAAAAGGTCCATGTCTTGAAGTGAAAACAGTATAAGGCAAATATGGGTAATACTTTTTATTTTTTATTACCATACACATGATACCAAGTTTATCTGAGGTGACTTTAAATCTTCATTTACATTGTTATGTAATGTTATTACTAAGAGCAAGAAAAAAGACTTTAAATCAGAACTCTTAGGAAGAGTAAGCATCTTTAAGCAGTTCCTATAATGCTAATTCTTAAAAAGTAATTAAAATTCAAAACATGCCCTGGCCAGTTTGGCTCAGTGGTTAGTGTCAGCCCTTGGACCGAAGGGTCGCAGGTTCGATTCCTAGTCAAGGGCACGTGCCTGGGTTGCAGGTTTGATCCTGGACCCTGGTCGGGGTGCATGAAGGAGGCAATCAATCGATGTGTCTCTCTCACATCGATGGATGTTTCTGTCTCTCTCCTTCTCCCCCTCGCTCCCTTCCACTCTGTCAAAAATCAATGGAAAAATTCCCTCGGGTGAGGATTAAAAACAAAAAAGTGACCATTTAGAATTATCCAATTTGTTCCATATTTTATTGAAATAATAATGGCATACCTGACTAAGACGACATTGCCAGATTAAAAAAAAAAAGAACCAGCTATAAAAGAAATCTGGAGGACAACTGGTGAAATCTAAATATGCATGATTAGATGACATTAGGGAATTACTTTTATAAGAAGATTATGGTTTTTAAGGACAATATTATTCTTAAAAATAATTATTTTTAGAACATGCTTGAAGTGTTGAGGAGCAATGAGTATGTCTGCAACATCCAAATGGCTCAGAGAAGAACATATATACACATATGTATGAATAACTACATCTATATACACAGTTAGACATGGAGTAAATATGGCAACATGTTAACAAGTGTTTAGTTCAAGTGGTAGATACACATGTGTAAGGGTTTATGATAAAACTGGGAGGAAAAGTCACATCTGAACATTTAGTTTTAAGAGATGTTCTTTCTGTGCAGTGAGTCAATTTAAAAGATAACATGATCGAATGGCAAGAAGTGTTTGCATACACAATACTGACTGACACGAGGAGCAGAGGAATTGGTGAGATTGGCAAAAACAACGTGATTTATTTACAGTATGTGCCACTCAGCTCTTGTGACAAAAAGAGCAATGAATGTACAGGATATTATGGGACAAACTGTTAAGATTAAACTCAGTACCTAGAATATCTGAATATGTTGGTTGTGTGTTTTTTGGACCTAACCGAACTTTCATGTGTCTAGTATCTTTGACGTGACTTACCATATACTACAGAATACTGGGGGGATATGGAAGAGTCACCCAGATGTCCCTACTGTTGGAAGATACTTGCTACTTAAGAAGTTAAAGAGCCCAGAAAACAAAACCACCTATAAAGTTCTCTGAGGATTCTAGGCAAATATTTATTGAATAACTTTATGAAGCAAATATATAACATAACATGTAATAATATATGAAGGCCTTTATGGTAAATTAATATTCTACAAAGCCCTGTGTACACTAAATATAAAATAGCCAAAAATCAAGTGAGCCTGAGAGACCTATAATTCATTGTGTATATTATATGGTGCTATATGCCTACTGAACAGTGAATAAAATTATCTTAATTCATTTTTGCACATTAGGTTTTTAACTATTAATCATGTTCAAATTCCTGTGCAAAATGCATTCCAAAAGGCCAATCCTCAGTTATAATTATGTATAACTTGAATATAAATGGAAGCATTTGGCTATGATTTATTATGCATGCTTATTGCTATCAAAGAAATAAGCAAAGTTTTAGGTTTACTGTGCAAGAATTTTAATTAGATTCGCACACATCTCAAAAAATTCTATTGTGTGACTTCCGGGTCTTGGAGTTAAGTCAACAGGAGAAGAGTCAAGTGAGGTCACAGATGAGGTAAGAGAAGCTTCTGAGGATTTTCCTTGAGCCTCAGCATCTGAATCATTCCTTTGGCAAGATCGATAGTTGCTAACTGATCCCGATCTCTGTGGTGTAGCAGTCCCTGATTTGGCTTCAGTAATTTCATCTGGGTAAAAAATAATTCAATTTATTATAATCCATTACACCCCCCCAAAAATGTTTTAATAGTATTTTATTTTCTTCTTTGAGTGTAACCACTGACCAGCTATCAAGAGCATGTCTATTTTGAAAACTTTATCAAACAGAGGCAAAGCATCTGTGTTGACTCACTCACCTTGTTTACACACAGCGTGTGCTCTCCTGATGGCTGGAGACTGGGTCAGTTCATAGCTACTCAGCAACCTTGCAATCCAAGATCAAGAACCCAGTAAACTGATAACTTGGAGTTGATAAACAGCAGTTCTTAACAAAATGCACTTTTGGAAGCTATCTCATCCAACTCCTCGTTTTATCAATATGGAAACAAACCCCAGAAAGTTAAGTGACTTGCCATAGGTGACAAATGCAGAGAAGGAAACCTGGAACCCAGGTCTCCTAACTCAGTGCTTTCCACTCACCATTTTCTCTTCATATTTAAGATCTCATAAAAGTGCTCAGCAACAATGAACAAAATGTGTTCCAAACTAAAGTTAGGAACACAATAAAAATAAATGGTTGTTTGATTGGTAAACCCAGGCGCTAGGTTGAGAACCCCATCCAAAAACCATAAGTAAAACCTGTTCCATATCTCAGACTGCATCAGTTCGCATTAGCAGATAAACACCCTCTGGACATAAAGATAAGCAGATAAACAGGTATGGCTACCATATCACAGCTCAAACCTTTGTCTTTCTGACACTATGTAGATACTATCTTCGATTATAAAGAAGAAAAAAAACTCACAGGAGAATCTCATCTGACAATCCCATACAATCTTAGATGAACAAAAATAGTAACACAGCTTAACTCAATTGATTTGGCCAATTAAGAATTGCCATAAAGCCTTGGCAAGTTTGGCTCAGCGGTTAGAGCGTTGGCCCACGGACCAGAGAGTCCCAGGTTCGGTTCCTGCTAAGGGCACATACCTCGGTTGCAGTTTGTCCCTGGCCGCAGTTGGGGTCGTGTGAGTGGCAACTAGTTGATGTTTCTCTCTCTTCCTCCCTCTCTCTCTCCCACTCTATCTGAAGATAAATGCAAGAATGTCCAGAGGTGAGGATAAAAAAAAGAATTACCATAAATATTTACCTAATTATAGGCTTTGTTTATGAGAGAACTTTCATATATACACAGCTTTACCCCTTTTGTACTGATGGAGTACAGAAAGAATATTTACTTGAATTATGAGCCAAATGTGTTCCAACAGGCTTTTTAATAGGTCAGGTAAATTTAGTTTTAACAGAGTATACACATGGGAAACTTGAGTTAATGTAAATTCCAAACCATGTCAAGATTATTGTACCATTTACTATAAGTATTATAGTCTATCATATATATACCTTGGCACTTTCCCATTTAAAAATAAAAGCAACAACAAAACCAAGTGTCTGCTTTCTGCAACTGATTAACTTCAAGTTAACCAATCGAAATAGTTAAGAAGGAGATATTCTGGCAAACTATTCATAATGGTAATCAGATGTATTTTCTTAAGTACAGATTTTCATTTTCAAACTACTAAAACAGTAAAACAATACTCAACATAATTGATGTTTCTTTAATAAAATTCAAGAAGGCAGTTTAAGACCTTACAGTATAACAGGGTCATTATTTAATGGACAATTAAAAGACCTAATTAAAATTTTTAAATACTTTAGTGATCTGATTATCAGGTTGTCTATGATTTTTAATAGTTGATAAATAGAAATGTACAATAGTCTAGGTTTAAGTTTAATGTCCTGTTAGTTATGATAGTTACCATGGACATAAAATGCTTTAGTCTCAGGAACCCTTCTACAGTGCATTTTATACACTGATCTATTATTCAAACCTACTTATGAAAGTTGAGTAAAATTGATTTGGCCAATTAAGAATTGCCATAAAGTAAAATTAGAATCATATAACTCTCACAAAATGATAAAAAATGCATATCTCCAGTCGTATCTCTAGTGTCAGGCTGGGAGGAAAAGGCTGGTTCAGAAGAGAAAAATAACCAGAAATCCCTACAAAACATTTCTCAAGTGTCCTGCAAGAACCCTTACTCAGCAAATAATTCCTTGTCCTATGAGCTACTAATCAAATCTATTTATAATGCTTTGTCATTCAACTCTAAAAGCTAGTAACTAAAATCTGAAGTGATCAATTTTATTAAATATAAATAAAAATTATTTAATAAAAATGTCCAGAAAAGTCAACAGTTATTTCTAAATAAAACATTTTATCGCCCTGGCCAGTTTGGCTCAGTGGTTAGAGCTTCAATCTGCAGTCCAGAGTGACCCAGGCTCGGTTCCCGCTAAGGGCACGTACCTCAGTTGCAGTTTGTCCCGGCCCTGGTTGGTCGTGCGGGTGGCAACCACTCGATGTATTCCCTTCACATCAATGTTTCTCTCTCTTGCTTGCTCTCCCTCCCACTCTATCTGAACAAAAAATGGGAAAAAAAAATGTCCTCAGGTGAAGATAAAAACAAAACAAAACAAAAAAACATTTTATCTTACTAGAATGAACCACATTAAAAAAACAGAAATGTGGCAGAAACTATCACTTTAGAATCAGACTGCATCTGGCTTTAAGGATTCTACAAGCTTAAAAGGACAATATAGTCGAAGACAACAAGAATAAGAAGATTCACAAATGTTGACATCACAAAGGCACAAAATCTCACATTGTACATTCTTCTGCTATTGAGTTACTAGGAATGATTCAAGAAGCTTCAAAAGAATCAAAGACAAAAAAGCAAGTTAGATAATAAGGTCTAACATGTCATCTATGGTGTTTTGTGGTGTACATACCATCAAGACTTCGGAAATCCAATAAATACGTTCTACTATCCACTTGGTATAACTGTAGACTCATTTTGGAGTATGTACTTGTCACAGGATTCTTCCTTCGAACACGCAAATAATATGGGTTTACAACCTAGCATATGGTGTGGACAAAAACAAGGTCAAAAGCAATTCTTCCATAAAACACTACACTGGTTTGCCAAATGTGCTAATAATCAGAATGTTCTTTCCTTCCTACCTTCCATTCATAGTCCAGTTGTTTAATTGCTCTACAAACTTCTGCCATGATATCATTTGGTCGACTTTGACTTCTGATTCCCAAATGCCATTTTGCTTTCCTTACACCTTGGTGTTTGGATTTCTGTGGATTTAATTCATCGAGGGTATGACGAGCCCTTGGCGTTTCAGCAACCAAGAAGGGCACCCTTTCAGGGTGGGGCCGAGTCAAATGGTGATCATCGAGGAAGGAATCAGGTGGGCTTGTCGCCAAGTAAAAATCTTTGGCCTCATTCATTATTCTCCTGTTATCTATGATGAGGTGGTAGGCCACCGCCAAAGGGTCCTGGTGATTTCTGTTGTAAAGGCAGCTGAGAACCTCCTCTTCTGAGCACTCAAATTTTTCACATACTTCTTTTAAGGCTTCATCATCAATCATGGTTGAACTGTATGATGGATCCTCAGGAAAGAGATATTTTGGCAGATCCTGTTTGAACCATTCGTGCTCCCTAGGAGAGAGAGGCAGGGCCAGGAGAAGGGTTCTCAGTAGGGATGAGACTGGAAGTAACAGTTTGGGGAATTTAGAATATAAATTAACTTATATTTATACTCATACTGGATTATCATTTTATAAAACTGAGATTTTCCTCTTCTGGCTCACATTTCATTGTATACATTGGGAAAATGCTGCAGCCTCCCTCAGATTTTAAGAGGAAGAAAATGTTGTAGTAACAGGAAAAGAAATGTGTATACTTTATATTTAAATTGGAAAAAAATATGTAAAACGAGAAAAAGTACCTCTCACTTAGAGATTTTAAAATATAAATTTTAGGAAAGGAGTTGTCCTTTTCATCAGCCAGTAATTCACACCCTGGCCGCTGGGTCTCCTTTTTGGTGAGTCTTCAGCATATGGAGCGAACGGAAAGGGCTGAAGCTCTCATTCGACACGGGGTCTTTCCTTCTCCGTCTCCCCAATGCTCTCCTGTCTGCTAATCCCAGATCTACAGCTTGTTTCTTTCTTCCTGGGCCCTCCATCTCAGAGAAATATGCTGTCTACCCATTTTAAGACTAAAGAGAAATTCCCATGGTGGGCAGGGGCAGGAGGGAAACATGGGGTAGAAGAAACATCGTTTGCAGTGAATTTTAAGTCTTCGTTAGAGATGGCATGCCCAAATTTAAGAAATAGATTTGTCACCATCACTTTTGTTTTATTTAAACTATTAGGTTGAATCATAAAAAACTGGTAAAATTGCCCTGGCCAGTATGGCTCAGCAGTTAGAGCCTCGGCCGGAGAGTCCTGGGTTCAGTTCCCACTAAGGGCACGTACCTCGGTTGCAGTTTATCCCCGGCCCTGGTTGGGATCGTGTGGGTGGCAACCACTCCATGTGTCTCTCTCACATCGATGTTTGTCTCTCTCTCTTCCTCCCTCTCTGTCTGAAGATAAATGCAAAAGTATCCTCAGGTGAGGATTAAAAAAAAAAAGAAACTAGCAAAATTGACTGATTTTTTTTATCTACAAAACAACAGTTTCATATGTGATTCAATGTCTACTACTACAGAAAACAAAAAACACGTCATTGATTATATTAAAATTTTCTCATTCCTTGAGATGAACAAAAGGAAAAAATATAATAATTCATGAGATTAGAACTCCAATAGCTACACATGAATTAACTACTAAAAAGTATTCATCCTAGTGAGACTACATAAAAGTCAAATATGATGCATACTGTGGAAAATCTTAAAGAACCACTACAAAATCTAACACCCTCCCAGGATCCTTTTTATTTTTCATTAGCTTTTTTTTTTAAACTTAGAAAGTAGTGTATTTTTTGCCCTGGCCGGTTTGGTTCAGCGGTTAGAGCGTCGGCCTGCGGTCCTGAGAGACCCGGGTTCGGTTCCCGCTGGGGGCGCATACCTCGGTTGCAGTTTGTCCCCGGCCCTGGTCGGTTGTGCAGGTGGCAGCCACTCGATGTGTTCCTTTCACATCGATGTTTCTCTCTCTCTCTCTCTGTTCCTCTCTCTCCCTCCCACTCTACCTGAACAAAGGATGGAAGAATGTCCTCGGGTGAAGATAAAAAAAAAAAGAAAGTAATGTATTTTTCATTATTACAATTTCAAAACAAATAAAGATGCATAAGTACAAAGTGCAAGTCCTCCCTCCTACGAATCTTATTTCCCTAAGGTAGCCAGTATAGTGTGCATTTTTAAATAATACAATAAATAAATGTGTCTGTACACTGTTTTTTAACATAAAAAAGTACATACTGACCTGCAACTTTTTCTTCCCCTTAACTTACACCACTGGTACTACGCCCTCTGGTCCTCTCCAAGTTGCTTTCTTACCTGATGTCCTTGATTGCGGCCCTCTTCATGGGATCCACCTGCAGCATGTGCTTCAATAGGCTAATCACAGAAGGGTTTAGATACTGAGGGGTATAAAAGATTCCATCACATATCTTCTTAAAAAGGGTTGGCACGTGGTCGTCATCAAAGGGAAGGGTCCCACATAATAAAGCGTAGAGAATAACCCCACTGCTCCATATGTCTACCTCTGGACCTGCATACAGTCTGCAACAGGAAACACCCATTGGATTAAATACTCATAGCAATTTAAGAGTCAGTCATTTAATCAAAAATTTTAAATATGGATATTTCATAAATAATTATTAGACAGAATAGTTTGTAATCAGTGCTGTACACTACACATAAAGATTTTGTACTATTTCTATCAGTATTTTCTTTGATAACAAAAGTCAAGAATTTGTTTTTTCAGTTACAGACTATAGCTAAAATACTTCTTACTATCTACGATGATCCTCATGAGATCCAACCAATAGGGCCAAACCCTGAACAAATATATCATCAGTGAATTTAAAACCACTGTTGTTCAGTTACAGAGGAGAGAGGATATGATCTTTCACCAACTGAGAATGTTCTCTACTGATGGACCTGAAATGCAGGCTCTCCAATAACCCCGACCTCAACGTAAAAGGGGCCTGAGGCTGCGGAAGGAAGCCTCGCTAACAGGTTCACAAAGGATTCTGTTTGCACTGTAGCCAACTGACTAGACTTGCTGTAGACTAGTTAGAATACCCATTCAAAGTCTGGCCTCAGAGAAAGGATTTCTTTAAATTGGTTAAATTAGACACTGCTTTGAAAGTAAAAGTTTCCATTCATCCCGACCTTGCAGAAAGACCTTATGCAAAGAAGGAAAATTAGACTTCAGTCATGGCCCACTGCATATATGCATAATTACATTTATTTTTATTTATTTAACCCTGCCCCCAGTATCTAGGTCCTGAATTGTTTTCTTCCCAAAATAATTTAGACAACACAAATGAAGTAATTTTTTAAAGAATTCTGAACATTAATATAAAATGATAAAACTTGATAAGTCTAAAATTAGAATACTTCTGCCTTATTCATAACCATAACTTTACAGAAATATAAGTTCTCGCCTGTCCAGTGTGGCTCAGTGGATTGAACGTCACCCTATGGACTGAAAGGCCCAGGTTCGATTCCAGGTCAAGCACATGTCCAAGTTTTGGGTTTGATCCCCAGTAGGGGGTGTGCACGAGGCAGCTGATCAATATTTCTCTCTCTCCCTTTCTCTCTAAAAAATAAAATATATTAAAAAGAAATATAATATCTCTGAGCAGGTTAGGGCAAGCAAGATTACAAAAACAGGAAGAAAGTACTACAATATTTCTGCATTATGAATTAATCAGGATGTGAAACATTCAAACAAAGAAACATGGTTTGAATAAAAGTTCTTAAAAGTTAACTATAGCCCTGGATGGTGTGGCTTAGTTGGTTGGGTGTCAACCCATACACCTAAAGGTTGTTGGTTCAATTCCTGGTAGGGGGCATACAGGAGGCTGCTGATTGATGTTTTGCTCTCACATTGATATTCTCTCTCTCCCTCCCCCCCAAAAAATCAATAAAAATATGCCCTGGCCGGTTTGGCTCAGTGGTTAGAGCGTCGGCCTGCGGTCCTGAGAGACCTGGGTTCGGTTCCCGCTAAGGGCACGTACCTCGGTTGCAGTTTGTCCCCGGCCCTGGTCGGTTGTGCGGGTGGCAGCCACTCGATGTGTCCCTTTCACATCGATGTTTCTCTCTCTCTCTCTGTTCCTCTCTCTCCCTCCCACTCTACCTGAACAAAAAATGGAAAAATGTCCTCGGGTGAGGAAAAAAAAAAAAAAATCAATAAAAATACTAAAAAACAAAAAAGTTAACTACAGAAAGCAGTAAATAAAATCAATCTTCTGTGTTGAATTTCAGTGGTGTAGTGAAGAACAATTACTCTTAAAAAAATTTAATTTCCCTGTCATCTAAACTATTAAAAAAGCTGCACCATACAAAACTTCTCATCTTCTCAAACATTGGCTTAGTAAATTGAGAGGTCAGAATTCTTGTAATATTGCAATTTCTAAAATATTTTTAAAATGAAAATTCAAAATAAATGGAATCTGAAGATTTTATTAATACTTGAATCCAATTCTCCAGGACACTTTATCATAAAACTTTACTACAAAATACCATCTATTTGAAAAATTAAAGCTATGCATTACACTTTTTTCCCCAAAACTTTTCTCTTACAGATGGTACTTCAGTTTCTTTGAGTACCCAATTTAAAATATATTAACTCGCTATTTAACATTTCTTGATTCCACTTGTTCCTTTGGAGTAATGCCTCAATAATTTGAACCTTTGTCTTTGCTACATTTTTTCAAGTTGTGAGGGTTCAAAATGTGACTCATCAGTGTGTGGATTATTTTTTTTTAATCTTCATTTTTGAAAGTGTTACAGATGTACCGTTTTTTCCCCCATCTAAGTAAACAGCAAACCACTTCTCACTACTAGATATTTCCATATTATTCAAGTTTTTAATGTCTTATCTACCTTTAAAACTCACTAGTTTTAAACCTTCAGTGTCTTCTACTAGTGGGGGAAAATGTAAGTACTCTCATCTAACTACTTAAATATACATTGACTTTGCATACCAACATTCTCCTCTATAAATGGAGGCCTTATTTATAATGTTTTATTCTTAAAACACAACACTTTTTTGGATAAGAAAAGAATGCACCTGCTTTCTTTCCTTCCTACATCAGACACTCTAGGCACTAGACTCACAACATCTAGGAGCAAACGGCAATCACAGATGCACTGAGGGCAGGGAGTGTCACATACTACCTTCCTGAAATTACTTCTGGTGCAGCATAGTTGGGCGAGCCACAACTTGTTCTTAAAAATTCACCATCTGACATCATGTTTGAAAGACCTGAAAATGCACAAAATCAACTACTCAAGACTTCCCAAGTACAAAAATAAAAGAAAAACTCTATTAAATGATACAATTGAGTTTGCAGTAAAGTAATAAATCATTTTATTCTTTGCTCCAACAAAATACTATAGTCTTTACTGTTCCCAAATATTTTGCCACTATGCCCTAAAATGTGTAATCTATTTCAACATTTAAACTTAGTGCCCTGGCAGGTGTGGCTCAGTAGTTGAGCATCAACCCATACACCAAGAGGTCTCTGGTTCAATTCTGGTCAGGACGTATGCCCAGGTTGTGGGCCAAATCTCCAGTGGGGGTCATGCAGGAGGCAACCAATCAATGTTCTTTCTCATCAATGTTTCTCTCTCTCCCTCTCCCTTCCTTTCTCTCTAAAAAAATCAATACAGAAAAAAAAAAATTTTTTTTAAATAAATAAAGTTAGTGCATTTTTAGCCCTGGTCAGTTTGGTTCAGCGGTTATGGCCCTCGGCCCAAGGGTCACGGGTTTGATTCCAGTCAAGGGCACATAACTGGGCTAGAGGTTCACCTGGTTTCCACCCCCGGTCAGGGTCATTCAGGAGGCAACCAATCAATGTGTTTCTCTCACATCTTCCCTCCCTCCCTCCCTCCCTCCCTCCCTCCCTCCCTCCCTCCCTCCCTATCTCCCTCCCTCCCTCCCTCCTTCCTTCCTTTTCTCTGTCTCTCTCTCTCTCTCTCTCTGGCTCCCTCCTTCCCTCCTACTCTCTCTCAAAAAAAAAAAAAAAAAAAAATCAATGGAAAAATATCCTCGGGTGAGGATTAACCAAAAAAAATAATAAAGTTAGTGCATTTTTAGAGTTTAATGAGTATGTATTAAGCTTATCAGTCACTGAACTTACGAACATAAACTTGGCATATTTAAATTTTATTAATACAGAAATTACTAGAAAAACCGTAGAACAGATGAGAAAAATTAAAACTGAAAGTTTCTCTTAACCCGTGTTCTCTTTAATATAATAATTTTGAAAATCAAAGTTCCCTCATAGTTTTATTCCAAAAAGACACCTCTGCCTTCTCAAAAAATGTACCCTATAAAAATAATGACACTGAGGTATAAGGAAGTCAAATAATTTAGACAGTTACCAAAAAAACAAAACAAGACACAAAAATAGTAGCTCAGGGCTGGCTGGCATGTTCACTTAATCTCTATACACTGAAATATACACATTTAAAACTGAGGAAAATATTTGTAAGAATGTCTCTGAACTGAAGCTAAGCAAAAGAAAGTTGCAGATTAATTTTTCTCTTAGATTTCATGATGTCCATGGCAATTTATATAGGAAATAAAAGAAAAGGAAATTCAATTTTGACAATCCAATGTTCAAGCTGAAATTACATTTTTCTCAAGTTGAAATTATTTTTCTATCATTTAAAATACCTTACCTTTTTTTCCTAAATAATTTTGTTCATATAGTTTACCTTCTGGCTTTCTGAGTTTGACTAACTTCATCCCAATTCTTTCCTCTTGCTCAAAAGAACACACTAGAAATAGGTTGCTAATTTCTCCTTCATACGTAATAGGTTCCAAATGATGTCTCTGCTGCCCCAACTTAAATTGTTTACTGTCACAAACTCAATTTTAAAGACATAAAGCTAATAAAAAATAATTCCTTATCTTTTCTCCTTTCTGAATGCTCATGAACAAAAGGGCGAAGATACCCTACTTTGGGATGAGTCTATTACATAAAGGTAGACGTTGTCTGGGGAGCGCTGCTCATGCTCGCTCAACATAATGAAGATGTGAGGCTGTGAGAATCTCTCACCGAAGTCAGCTATCTTGGCGTTCATGTGTGCGTCGAGCAGGACGTTCTCAGGTTTCAGGTCCCTGTGGACCACCATGTGCCGGTGACAGTAATCCACCCCGGAAAGGATCTGCTGGAACAGACGGCGACTTTCCTTCTCATCCAGCTAAGAGAAGCAGAGAGGCATCTTACAGGTGTGTTTTTCAAAACAAAGTCTTCTACCTATAGTTCTCCAACCTACAAAACTGTATGAATGCACGAAACCTTCCAAGTGAACCTCACAAGATACTTTTGAAATGCAGAGGAGATATATGCAGCACAAAACAGAAATGCTAAGGATCTTGGAACCCAAATCAGTAAAGTAACTCAACTCTCTAATGTTATCACTTTCATGACTTCATTGTTATAGCTTGCTTTCCTTTATATCTCATGAGCTATTTCAAATAGTTTCAATTTCTGCTTCAAACGAGGCATTTTTTGCCCGTCCAATGTGGCTCAGTGGACTGAGCATGGTCATCCCATGGACTGAGATGTCCCAGTTCGATTCCCAGTCAGGGCACACACCCGGATTGTGGGCTCCCTCCCCAGTAAGGGGCGTGCAGGAGGCAGCCAATCGGTGTTTCTCTCTCACATATACGTTTCTCTCTCCCCACCCAAAAAAAAATCAATAAAAACATATTTTAAAACTAGGCATGTTTTTGCCTATAAATTCAAAACATTTCATCTTTCACTCCTTTCACAAATATTTATTGAATAACTACAATATGCTAGGCACTGTTTAATGATATGGAACAACACATAAAACAAAGGATCTAATACAGTTGACAAAAATAGACAATAAAATAAATGAATAATAGTGCTTTTTAGAAAAATAAAGCAGGATAAGAACAGAGCTATGTTGTGGTGGAGATACTAGTTTAGACTACATGAGGAAGTAACAGTTAATGAATTAGCATTGTTAATGAATTAGCAAACAGCCATCTCATTTTATATCCTGAAATAAAAGATGTTATAATTTTAACAAAAGAAAAACCTTAATTTAGTTTATTTTATAAAATATAAAAGCATTTATCTTTAGTCAACTTACTAAAAAAGGTTAACTTACGCTGCAACTATATTTTTTTATATTCTTTTAAAAGTTCTCTTTCCATTTATCCATATTTTCTTATTTTATTTTTTCCATAATCATTACTTGGACATGCTTGCTCCCAAAAGTCATATTTAGTTAATAAGCTGTTATCCTTTAGGCAAAGAACTCTAATATGCAACTCTCTAAAACAGGTTACAAATTAGCATTCTAAAACCAAACTTTTCTACCTTAAATGACATGGATAATCTGGGAGACATGAAGACATAATAATTTTTTGGAAGCAAAATTGAAACTATTGAAGCACTATGAGATGACTGTTCCTCTAGAACAAGACTAAGGAATCAACAACCTAACATCTTTATTTCTAGAAGAAATATCGGTTCATTTTGTAACTATTTATATTAAATATACTAAAAGAAAAAAGAATATTCTAAATGTGAAAGAGAAGAAAACTTAATTGATTAAACAAAATATAAGAGGTAAAATAACTAGATATGCTACAAAAAAATGAAGATTATACTATATTAAATACAAAGGATGAAAGAAGGGAAATCTACAAAGGAAGATTAGAAAAAAATCAAAGCATATTTCCAGTTAAATACAGCAGACTGAACCTTTGGTCTCCACTCCTTGAAATATTACTGATAACATTAGCATATAAAGACAAAAAGAACCAGAGAAGAGACATCAGTAATTAAGAGGAGTCACCAAGCTGGAAAGTGGATGAACAGTGATAAAGACTTCGCCAGCCAGAGGATGCGGAAACCTAAGCCTATAGGGATAGAGACCAAGAATAAATGTATATACGCAGAACCCGGAAAGGCTGGGAAGTGGGAAATATTGGGAATTCTGAAGGTAGAAGTGAGAGGTGGGCTGAAAACAGGACAACTGGTTGAAGGATGAAGTTTTAAACTCACCTCTACTAGGGGGGTAAGACCCATGACTCACTCCTTAGTAAGGCTGACCCGTGTCCTCAAGGACACCAAGGCAGGGATGAGGCAGGCACCAGAGAAAGCGTGGGGATAAGTGAAAGCCAACATGCCACCTGGTGACACCTGCAGCCCCTTCTCCATGCTGCCTCCAGGCTGACACCCTCGAGGAAATGGGAACGTTTCTTCTGAAGCAACTATCTGATCCAAGGAAAGATGTCTGTCGTTACTGACACTTGGTGTGCCCTCACAAAATGGACAGGTCCCTACCTAATCAACCTAAGGGGAGGCCCACCGACCAGTAAGTTCACCCACACAAGCCGGGCATTTAGTACCGCCCAGATAAATGAACCACCAGTGTGGGAGGGCCAGTGCACGCAAGACAAAGAAAAACCAATAAAATGAATGAAAGAACAGGGAGCAGAGTATACAGAAACAATGCAGGGAACACAAGAAAACGATCTTAACGAAGTGTCATCTTCACACAAGATTATACACCTTTGGAGAAAAAATAGGCAATGTAAAGAAAGAAAATTTCAGAAAATAAGAAAGATCTTGAAACAGAAAATATGACAACTGAAATTTTAATATGCAACAGATACAAACTGAAGAAAATTCCCGCAATGAAAAGCAAACTGACAAAGAAATAAGAAACGGAAGAGAAAAGAAAACAAGATACCAAGTCAACTTGCACCTATTTCCATTTTTTCCAGGCAGAAAAGGGAGGGTGGGAGAGATGCAGGGGACAGAGAAGTGGAATACCTGAAATCTACATGAACTCTGTTAAGAAATGGCTAATCAAAATTAGCGTGGTTAACGAGCTGAGTTTGATGAAAATAAACACACGCTATGTAGGAAAAATGAATGAATGGTAGAGAGAACTTCAGGTCGGGAGGGAAAAGAAATGGGTTCTCAGCGCTCGCTACGGCTCTTCAGTAAGAGGCTTCTGCGCAGCATGTGCCCTGGCTGTGAGAACAGCTGTGGGCGGGGGCAGCGCTCAGCTTTTTATCTGTAACGTGAGATACTGTCCAAGATGTCCTCGAAAGGGCCTTCAACTCCAAATTCTTTAAGTCTAATTCCTACCTCCTTCATGGAGCCTGTTCGTACTAATCAGGTATGTCAGATTTCTAAAACCAATAAATGAATGCAATTTAAATGTGGCTAGGGCTAACCAGCAAGGCCTAGATTTTTAAGTATTTAATACTACATTTTATAAGGATTAAATATATACTTTAAGATATATATTTAAAATATCTGTATGCCCCCAAAACATTAAGTCTGAGAATCACGAGTGCTGTGGTCTCATTTAAGGGTCCTTACTAGCTCTAAATACTCTATGATTCTAGACAAATATATGACTAAGGGAAATGGTTATTAAATAGACCTTTTAACAAAATTGCTTTCCAGTGTCTTGAAGCTAGTAAGGGATAAGGGGAGTTACAAAACAGATACAGGATTAAATCAGAACTGCTTACCCTTCCATTTTTACAGATATAATCAAATAGCTCTCCTCCTGAGACATATTCCATCACCATGAAAATATCAGATGGTGTACTGATGACCTGGTACCTGGTGAGAGAAAACATTATCTACCAATATTAAAACATATATATTCATTCATTCAATATTTATTAAGCACCTATAATATTCCAGGTACTGTGCTAGAAGCTAAGAAAACTGCAGGAAACAAAACTTCTCTGCCCTCCTGGAGTTCATGTTCCAGGAGCCAGGCAACAAACATTAAATAAATAAGCATGCTATGAAGAGAAATAAAGCAAACCAAGGGGAATCTTTCATACTCAAGAAGGCCTTGCTGATAAAGTAATATCTGGGCAGAGCCTAATGGAAGTAAGGGCCATTACATAGGAAGAAGGTGAACCAGGCAGAGGAACAGCACGTGCAAAGCCCCCTCCCTGCCCCGCCACGTGGAAGCCTGCCTGGCATGTTCAAGCGATGGTAAGACCGCTGGCAGAATGAGCTGGGACAGAGAAATAGGATGTGGAGTCAAAGAGGTAACTGCAGACCGGAGGACACGGAACCTTACAAGACATGATGGAGCTTTGGCTCTTACTCTAAGACAGATGAAGGTTTCAAGCAAAGTAGTCATGTGATCTGGCCTCTTCAGACGTTAACTGTGGCAGCAACATGAAGAACTGACCGCAGACAGAAAGGTGGATGCAGGAGCTACTGCAACAATCCATGAGCGAGATGAAGGGAGCTCGGACCAGGTGGTGGCAATGAAGGAACTGAGAAGGAAGACATGGAATGGATGGCAGGAAGTGAGAGCAACGGGGAAGTCAAGGACAGTTGCAACGTTCTGCCCGGAGGAACCAGACATGAACTGAGATGGTGCAGATGTGGGAAGAGCAAGTTTGGGAGGGTAATAGCGAGTTCCGTTTCAGCCACGTGGAGGTGCACATGCTTCGAGGACATCCCCATGGAGGGGAAGCAGGCAGTGGGCATGAGCCTGGAGTTCCGAGGAGAGCTTCAAAGTGGGAGATGACATTCAGGGGTCATCAGCACTGGACAGTATTTAAACCATGGCACCTCGACAACTTCACAGAGGTAAGAGTGAACTAACTTTGAGTCAGGTAGTTCAGTACGTAAGTCTAAGCAGTTTTAACTTACAGCCTATAGAATCAAGCCGAACAGAAAATAAATTATCTAAAAACCCTGTAATTGGCAACTGTAAAACAACAGTAATGTTACTGCCCTTTTGCAATCATGGACTCCTGATATTCTATTATTTGTTATTTGTTTTATCAGATGTAAGCAGCATGGGGGAATCTCATTTTGCTGCGTGTCTCTAGTGAGGCTAACTGATGTGGAAATTTGGGGGGGGAGGGTTAAGAGTTTGTACTAACAAATCATTGTTGGTTCTGCAGCAAATATTATCTATCAGAAGGACATTTATCCAGAAGACAAGAAAGAATGAGAAAGATAACTACTGATAACCAGAAGGTCAAAACAGGAACATAGGCTTAAGTGACTCTGAATGGAGTCAGATGAAAACATAAACAGGAAGAAACTTCAAACCCTCAAGAGTAGACCAAAGAAAAGTCAGTTATCTTTCTCACACATCGTATTAATTAGGTTAATAAAAATAATAGGGCTGTATTTGATATAATCAGATCTTACAGTTTAATAATATGAGGATGCCTGAAAAGCTTGAGGTTCTGAATTTCTCTGCGGATTTTTCCTACCACATCAAGGCTTCGAATCTTCTGTCGATTGAGTATCTTCACAGCAACTTTATGCCCAGTCAATTCGTGTTTGCCAACTGTAAGAGACATAATTTTAATGGATTAGTACCAGGCTTGATTAATTACATATTTAGACATATTCTAAGAGTAGTCTTCTTAGCATTCTCAGAAAATACCTGAGCACATTTAACCTCCTTGGATGTTTGTATGAATGATGGGAGAATATGTAAAGGGTACAGAGGTCCCTCCAGGAAGGGAGGCTGGGAGGCTAAGGGAGAGAGAAAGTAAAGAGACTTCCTTTTTGCACTTTTAAATTCTCTTCATTTATTTTCATTTTTTAAACTGTCACACATACAAATTGAACTTTTTCCTTTCGGTACAGTTCTACAGATTTTAACATAGGTAGAAAATGGTCTAACTACCATTATAATCAGATACAGAACAGTTCCATTAACCCAAAACACCCCCTCATTCTATAGGCAAACGTCCCCTATCCAAAACCCCTTGAACCTTTTAAAATGTGGTTCAGACTTCCGGTCAAGATGGCGGGTAGGTAACCGCAGTATCGCGTCCTCCCACAACCACATCCAAGTTACAACTAAACTACAGAACAACCACCATTCAAAACCGCCTGAAATCAAGCTGAATGGAAGTCCTACAACTACGGAATTAAAGCAGCAGCCACATCCAGACTAGTAGGAGGGGCGGCGGTGCGAGGGGTGGCGGCGCGAAGGGCTGGTCCCACACCCACGTGTGGCGGATAAAAATCAGAAGGCTCCCGCGGCTGGGAAGGTCCTTCCTGAGGACTGAGGGGTCCCCGTCCCACACCAGGTGCCCCGCTCAGGGTTCCAGTGCCAGGAAGAGAATCCCCATCACTTCTGGCTGGAAAACCAGCGGGAACTGAGGCTCAGGGAGGCTGAAGCGGCGGGAGCCCCAGGCAGCTCCTTACAGGGCCCGCGCACGGACTTACCGGACTCTCTCCCTCTAAGCTCGGAGGGGAGGCAGCCGAGGGCTGGAGAGGGGCTTTCTCAGGGACAAACGTGCTGTCAGAGGCCTTTGTTCCTTTGGTGAGCCCTTCCCTGGGGCGGCAGACAGTCGCCATATCTGGGACTCCAGCAACCTGGCTCACACTGGATGCCCCGCCCTGCTGACTCCCTGAGGCCCCGCCCCACCCAACTTTCAGGCCCACCCAAGCTGTTGCCACTTGCTTAACCATAGGATTGGCCTGTCTTGGATCCTGCTTCAGGTTTTCCTAAATTTTTTCAAACGAGCAGCATCTGGTCTCAGCGAGCCCCATACCGCTCATTAAGTAATACACAGAAACAAACACAGGGAGGCAGCCAAAATGAGGAGACAAAGGAACAGGTCCCAAATGAAAGAACAGAACAAAACCCCAAGAAAAGAACTAAGCGAGCCCTGGCCGGTTTGGTTCAGTGGTTAGAGCATCAGCCTGCGGTCCTGAGAGACCCGGGTTCGGTTCCCGCTAAGGGCACGTGCCTCGGTTGCAGTTTGTCCCCAGCCCTGGTCGGTTGTGCGGGTGGCAGCCACTCGATGTGTTCCTTTCGCATCGATGTTTCTCTCTCTCTCTCTCTCTCTGTTCCTCTCTCACCCTCCCACTCTACCTGAACAAAAAATGGGAAAATGTCCTCGGGTGAGGATAAAAAAAAAAAAAAAATTAAAAAAAAAAGAAAAGAAAAGATAAGAACTAAGCGAAATGGAGATAAGCAACCTAACAGATGCTGAGTTCAAAATACTGCTTACAAGGATGCTCAATGAACTCAGTGAGGGCCTCAAGAGCATAAAAAAAGGACCAGTCAGAAATGATCAATGCACAGTTAGAAACGAAGGAGGCTTTAACTGAAATAAAGAATAATTTACACAGCTTCAATAATAGAGTACGTAAATCCAAGGAGCAAACCATCGATTTGGAATATAAGGAAGCAAAAAACGCCCAATCAGAACAGCAAAAAGAAAAAAGAATCCAAAAAAATGAGGATAGTGTAAGGAGCCTCTGGGACAACCTCAAGCATGCCAACATTCGCATCTTGGGGGTGCCAGAAGGAGAAGAGAGAGAACAAGAAATCGAAAACCTGTTTGAAACAATAATGGCAGAAAACTTTCCTAACTTGGTGAAGGAAACAGACATACAAGTCCAGGAAGCACAGAGAGTCCCAAACAAGATGAACCCCAAGAGGCCCACACCAAGACACATCATCATCAAAATGCAAAAGGTTCAAGACAAAGAAAGAGCCCTGGCCAGTTTGGCTCAGCGGTTAGAGCGTCGGCCTGCGGTCCAGAGAGACCCGGGTTCGGTTCCCGCTAAGGGCACGTACTTCGGTTGCAGTTTGTCCCCGGCCCTGGTTGGTCGTGCGGGTGGCAGCCACTCGATGTGTCCCTTCACGTCGATGTTTCTCTCTCTCTCTCTCTCTCTCCCCCGCTCTATCTGAACAAAAAATGGAAAAATGTCCTCGGGCGAGGATAAAAAAAAAGACAAAGAAAGAATCTTAAAAGCAGCAAGAGAAAGGCAGCTAGTTACCTACAAGGGAGTTCCCATAAGGCTGTCAGCTGATTTCTCAAAAGAAACTTTGCAGGCCAGAAGAGAGTGGCAAGAAATATTCAGAGTGATGGAAAGCAAGAACCTACAACCAAGATTACTCTATCCTGCAAAGCTGTCATTTAGAATCGATGGCCATATAAAGACTTTCCCAGACAAGAAAAAGTTAAAGGAGTTCATCACCACCAAACCATTATTATATGAAATGATGAAGGGTCTTTTTGAAGAAAAAGACAAAATATATGAACAAACAAAATGGCAATGAATACATATCTATCAACAATGGAATCTACAAGCAAAATGAACAGATAGAACAGAAACATTCTCATAGATACAGAGAACATTTTGTTGGTTGCCAGATGGGAGGGGGTTGGGGGGAATGGGTGAAAAAGGTGAAGGGATTAAGACGTACAAATTGGTTGCTAAACTGACAAACCTCAAAGGGAAAGGGGCTGGGGGGGTGGGAAGAAATAAACCAAAGAACTTATGTGCATAACCAATGGACACAGACAATAGTGTGGGAAAAGGTGGGAGGGGGGCGGGAGTGGGGAGGAGGGAGTCAATGGGGGAAAAACTGTGGAACACCTGTAATACATTCTACATTCAACAATAAAGATTTTTTAAAAAATAAAATAAAAATAAAAATAAAATTGGTTCACAAATGTGTAATTTATATTTTTAAAAAGAAGAAAAGAAAATTAAGTGATTATCTTTTATTTTGAATGCAATACTCTGATATTCAATGGTGATAGAATTTAGACACTTTTATAGAGATAAAGTTTCCAAAAATTTCATCCTTTCTCAAGAACCTACTGGAGAATATATATTTCATCAAAATCAACAAGGAAACCAAGAAGATGGTATCCAATATAGAAGAAAAACTAAGGGTATCCCGATATGGTAAAGAAGCCAAGTCTTAGGTAACAGATACATAGAAGGCCCAGAAGGCAACAAATCCAGAAAGCAATGTTACAAGGGGTTCAAGACGGTTATTTCTGTGGAGGAAAAAAAGAGAATAAATTGTCTTCCAGGGCTGAAAATATGAAACATTGTAATGACAGATTTTACAAAGACATCTGAAGAGGTGAGGAATTTAAACTTAGGTTCAAAGAAAACAAAGCAAATGAAAAAATGAGTCAAAAACTAAGGAAAAATTAAAACTTCTGTAAGAAAATACAGTCACAGGCCCAGCCAAAGTGGCTCAGTGGCTGAGCGTCGACCCATGCACCAAGAGTTCGCCAGTTCGATTCCCCGTCAGGGCACACGCCCAGGTTGCGGGCCGATCCCCAGTGTGGGGCATGCAGGAGGCAGCCAGTCCATGTTCTTTCTCATCGATGTTTCTATCTCTCTCTCCCTCTCCCCTCCTCACTCTCTAAATACAATAAAGAAAAAGAAATTTAAAAAAAGAAAATATAGTCATAGTATTGGCTTACCGAAGTGTTTTTATACAGTCACAATTATGAAAAACACCAAATATGGATTTTTTTTTTTTTTTTTTATCCTCACCCGAGGATATTTTTCCATTTTTTGTACAGATAGAGTGGGAGGGAGAGAGAGGAAGGAAGAGAGAGAGAGAAACGTCGATGTGAAGGGACACATCGAGTGGCTGCCACCCACACGACCAACCAGGGCCGGGGACAAACTGCAACCGAAGTACGTGCCCTTAGCGGGAACTGAACCCGGGTCTCTCCGGACCGCAGGCTGATGCTCTAACCGCTGAGCCAAACTTGCAAGGGCCAAATATGGATTTTTAAAAAATGATATAACTTTATTAGGAGAATGAAGGTGTAGGGCAGCAGTTCTCAACCTGTGGGTCGTGACCCCCTTGGGGGTTGAATGACCCTTTCACAGGAGTCGCCTGAGACATGACAGTAGCAAAATTACAGTTATGAAGTAGCAACAAAAATAATTTTATGGTTGGGGGACACCACAACATGAGGAGCTGTATTAAAGGGTTGTGGCATTAGGAAGGTTGAGAACCACTGATGTAGAGAAAAAGGCATAGGAGAACTCATATCCTCATCTACCATAATAGGTAGTCAACAAAAACACCTGTCGACAGGAAACAGTTTGTATGCATGCATAAATCAATTAGAAATGTAGAAATTAAGAAAAAAAAAAAAAGTAAAAAAAGAAACAGCTATCAGTTGAAAGTGGGATAGTGAATTCCGTTTTATAAATACACCTCTTAGATCTATTTGGCCTTTTAAAATATACATGTATCTACTACTTTATCCCCAAAAAAGTTTTAATTTTTAAATAAGTGATTTAGCCCGGGCCGGTTTGGCTCAGTGGTTAGAGCGTTGGCCTGCGGTCTGGAGAGACCCGGGTTCGGTTCCCGCTAAGGGCACGTACCTCGGTTGCAGTTTGTCCCCGGCCCTGGTCGGTCATGCGGGTGGCAGCCACTCGATGTGTCCCTTTCACATCGATGTTTCTCTCTCTCTCTCTCCCTCCCACTCTATCTGAACAAAATATCGAAAAAAAAATGTCCTCGGGTGAGGATAAAAAAATAAATAAATAAAT